ATATATGTATATATATGTATACATCTATATATATATACATATACATATATGTATACATCTATATATGTATACATATACATCTAGATATGTATACATATATATACATTTATATATATACATAGACATATATGTATACATCTATATATATATATACATATACATATATGTATACATCTATATACTCACTCACTAATAGGGATCCTCCACCACTTACAAGTCAAAACAAAAGTTAATAAAACAAAGTAACCCGTACGAAATTTATGACCGAGCATATATAAGTATACCCAAATAAAAAATTATTGCTTCCAAAAAACAATAAGAGAAATAAAAGTTCAAACTTGTAGCAAATAGATAGTGGGAACAACTCAAAATGTTGTTCTAGTAGTTTCAAAACTGTCCAAAGAAATTTCTTGAGGTTGCGAACCACCATATTTTGAGAATCGGGATTTAAAGATGCCGTAAAAACCTCCCAGCAAACTCCAAACCTTCCAACCTGCAAACCATAAGAGCTCTATGAAAAACAGAAAAAATCATGCTTCACTCTTATTCCCCAAAGAAGCAGTGAAGCAAAAGTGTCTAAAAAAACCGCAGTCAAACTATGTTATATTCGAAACACGCCAGGCCTCATAATTTTCCACCACCATCTAAAATTCTCATAGCAAATTTATGCGGCCAATATTACCGAAATCCAAACCAAACAATTAAGTTAGGCCTCCTCCACTTCTAGGGAAAAATAATCACAAGTATCAATTGAACCCACGCCCAAAGAGGCATTGAGGCTATTTTGGAGCTCTAAAAATAGGTGTGAGGCCACCCATCAAACAATATATTTTAGCGGCGCATACCAACCTCATATTGCCATAATCTTCATTAATATTCCATGAAAATATAATATGGCAGCAGGAAAAAAAAAATTGAAAACCTTTCACAACTTTCATTTTCGACAAGACGACAATTTTCTATCTCAAAAAATAACCACATCCATTCCAGATTCTCTCTTAAGCCGTAGCTGAAAACTTATTAATTATCTCAACTATTTTTCCTTTGAGGCATTCATAACATGCGAATAAAACCATCTCTTATAAAGAAAATGTATTGAGTCTGAAATAAAATCGTCAAATATCTCAAAAAATAACTCTCAAAGCCATAAAAAAAGAGAAAAATTTGCCAGTTTCATAAAACAAACCAAAAATTTCTCCATAAAATTCCAGCAATATATCAAAAAGGCAAAACCTGAGACCCAAATCATGGCCTAATGAAAGGCAATTCCATAGAGTCTCCCCACAATAGCCAATTCCATAGAGTCTCCCCATAGAGTCTCCCCACAATAGCCGTTTCAGATGAGAACCAAGTGAGACACCTACAAATAATAGTTCCTCATTTTTACCCCTCCCAGCCAACCAATCCGTCGTGGAATTGTCTTCTCGCAAAATATGTGATAAGCGAATAGAAAGCTTGAGTTTTTCAATAAGCATCCTAATTCTATTCCAAACAATCATAGCATTCCACTTTGGTATAATATTCATATCAAAATCCTTATAAAGATTAACAGAATCAGTCTCAATAATCAAATTGGAGAATTTAAAAGAGATAGCCACCTACAAAGAAAGTAAAAGAGCCCAACATTCGGCCTCAAAAAGGGATGAGGCAACAATCGGAGTAGCAAAAAAAACACCTGCACATGCCTGAATGATCTCTAAAAACACCACCAGCTCCACCAGCCTGGGAAGTCCAACTTCCATCAATATTTACTTTGATCCAACTCCTAGAAGGGGGTTGCCACTTTATCAAATTGACCATCCTACCCACCCTTGATTGGTGTAAATTACCATTGAAACCCAAATTACGGCAAGCCCGGAATAAATAAGCAAGAATGAAAGAAATCCTAGAAGGGGGTTGCCACTTTATCAAATTGACCATCCTACCCACCCTTGATTGGTGTAAATTACCATTGAAACCCAAATTACGGCAAGCCCGGAATAAATAAGCAAGAATGAAAGAAACTATATTTGTAGAGACCAAACCTTAATTTTGATACTTATGATCATTCCTTGCCACACAAATAAACCGAAGTACCAAAAAAGGGAAGCTATCCAATTTAGAATCCATCCTATCTGCAGCCCTCCACTTGAGTGGGTAGCTTCCAATGTCATTACAATCAAACCAATTTATATAAAAATGTTTTCCTAGTGTATTCCAAATTTCTTTAGCATATAAATAAAGGAAAAAAAGATGCACCTTGATTCCTCTTCATGCTTACATAAGTGACATTGTGAAGCAAATTTCGGCCCTTTAAGTTCAAGAATATCATCAAAAGGAAGCATGTTATGAAAAAATCTCCATATGAAAAAAGAGATGGAGGAAGTAAGAAAAGTATTCCAAATAACATTCCCCCACAGCCATTTGTCAGTCATAAATATAAAGATTTGAATACAACAACTTCGATGGAGAGATAATTGAAGTATTTTTCTATATAGGGGTATCTTTATCTTCCTTCTTTATGGGAATTTTAGCCACTATAGCAGTTTTATTACCAATTAGAGACATTAATTTATTAATATTCCAATTTCCATCCAACCATACATCAGACATAAGCATCTTATTATTCTGAGGATTGATAACAGATACATCCTTATTCTCTAAACCCCAATTATCATGCCAAAAGGAGATATTAACTTCACCCATGTCCCAAAAAATAAATTTGCTCGCAACCTCTCTAGCTTTTAAAATTGTTTTCCAAATCTTAGAATCTCCAATTTTCCATTGAACAATAGCCGGATTTGCAGAAGTACAATATTTGTGATGAAAAAAATGAGCCCATAACGAAGTATTAGCACGAAATTTAAACCCAATTTGCACATACTAATATCAGAGATTTGTTTCAAACTCTTAAAACTAAGACCCCCAGCTGAGCAAGGCTTGGCAATTTTCTCAAAGATGGCCCAATGCTTTCTAGATTGATTACCCGACCAAAGAAAACGGTTAAATAATCTCTCCAACTGGATCTGAGTACTTTTCTTAAGGTTTGGGATAAGAAACTAAACGAGTCATATAAAAAGCATGAAGAATATTGCAAACGATGAAAGTAAGAAATACTTCAACAAATGTTTGAATGATTTACTAACTATTACATACAAAAAAAAGAAAATCTAAAATAACTGCTCAACTGAAACATATTATAGAAAACGAATTAACATGCAATTAACTTGAATATAATTATCAAACAAAACCTACATCAATTTTGTATAAAAGAAAAAAAAATAATCACTATGTTTTGACATCATAATTGAATGATATGATTTAAGAGAAGAGACACAAGCTGCATATAAATACTTAATTTTCTAGCATTTTTGTCGCAATATGTAATGGTAAATAAAGCTAGTTAACTCATCAAATGTTTCACCGGGTATCTTTGACAAAATTAAATTTGTGATTCCCTATCATTATTTCCTTTTTAATCTTCAAAATGAAAGGGTTGATTTTCATTTCATCATCAAACTTATGAGTGAAATTAAGCAGAGCTAAAAAAATATAACTTCTAAATAGCTTGACTATTGTATTAAAAGTAAAACTCAAAATTTTCCAATACCAGTCATGATACTAAATCACCCAAGATATCACTACACAAATTTATCTTTACCTGAGTTCAAGCTCCTCTAGATACATATCAAATCAACCAACAACAAGCACAAACAATAGTAGATATCTCAATAAAAAATTGTGCTTCTAACCCTCCAACAATATTGCATAAAATTAATAGGAAAATACACCTACCCAATCCAATTAAACTAGTTTCAACTTCAATGCCATCGATTTGGTTATAAACATGAGATTCTCTGTCTTTACCTAAATCTAGGGCTAGAAGAGAGAGGGGAAGAAATAAGAGGGATACCTTCCTCAATGCTTCAGGTAGGAGCAGAGGAGGAGAAAATATGAGAGTTTTGAAGGTCTGTATATGCCACGATCAAGTCGTTGCCCTCCCAACTAGCTCTAAAAGCCTCCGCGTAATTTTCTTTCCTGCGCATGGATTGACGAAGGTGAATGCACAGAGCAAACATAGTTCAAATCAGGTAAAATGAAGAGTTTTGTATTCCTTTTTGGTAACATTAAAGTTTTAGTTCTATATATGTAATATTTAAGGTTTAGCTTTTCATGTATGTAAGAACCCCTAAAGTTTAATAGATGTGATTGTAAAAACTATTTCTTTGTTTAAAAATTAGCTATACTAATAATTGGCTGAAAAGGAAGTATCTTTTATTTTGGGGTATCATGTGCATACTATCGAATTCCTATGTATTATGTATCTGACGCCTAAAGTTTAATTTTTTCAATTAGGCCGTAAACTGTTTTTAGTTTAACTTAAAAAAGTAAAATATATTTTTAATATATATATATATATATATATGTATATAATTTTTTAAAAGTAACATTGACCGAACCGATCTCATACATATTTTAGTTTAAATAAACGAAATTGTCTATGTAAGACATACACTGCACTAGGGCTGTCAAAACGGTTTGTTGTTCGCGAACATCTCGTGTTCAGCTCGTTAATTTCGTTCGATAAGTTAACGAGCCGAACACGAACTAAGATGTGTTCGTTCGTGTTCGGCTCGTTTTGGCTCGGAATAATACTCATCATGTAATTAAGAAAATAGAATAAAAATTGCTAAATTATATTCAAATGATGTTTTAATATAAATAATAATTTTTAAATCTTGTTCAAATTCTTATTGTCTTATGTCTTATGACTACATGATTAGACTACATGATTAGTATTATTAAAATGACTCTTTGCTCTTGAACAGCCGAACACGAACACACTTTTTGAGCTCGAAATATAAACAACCCGAACACATGCTCGTTTACACCCCCTCCAATTCACTGCGTAAATAATATAAGCATGCCTTATATCTCTCGTGACTTTCATATAAGCTTTATAAAACTATCTGAGCTTATAATTGTCCGTTTATTGGAGTTCTTCTTCTCTACGGCAAAATCTTGGCCTCCTCGAGCCATGGCGGGACGAGAGGTACTGATGCTTGAGGCCCCGCCGGACCCTTCTCGAGAGGGCTGGTCTGTGATAAGCCAGAAGGAGTTCATCGACGCGCTGCCCTACATTGATGACGACTATGGCGATCCCAGGGTGAAGGCGGAAGTAGACATGCTTGTCGAAGCCGAAATGCGCAAGAGCGTCAAGAAGCCGGCCGATTTCCTCAAGGATCTCCCTCCCCTTCCCAACTTCGGCTTCGAGGTCGGACAATCACCTATTTCTTTTTCGTTTAGCAAATCAATGGTTAGGGTTTTGATGTAGAAAGTTTTATCTGGATGCTGATTTTTTATTTGACCTTAATTCTATTGCGAGTGTTTGGTACGTTACGAGCTGGCTTCTTAGTTTAGTTCTCGTGTCAAAGTAAGTCAAGCTGTGTTTCGTTTGAAGGAATTAAGTGGAAAGAAAATATTATCTACGTCGCAATTACATTTTTTAATTTTTGGTTTGGTTGTAGTTTACAGGCAGAATTGCTTCCGCTGCTTGAAAAAATAACTAGCTGTCTGGGATTTGTGATAGATGAATTATGTTCTTGCCCAAAAGCTTGATGTTGAATTTGTTGAATTCTTTCTTTTAGTTCATGGCCTGGCTAGTGCTAATCTGTTGATGTTTTTTCTAGTCTTATTTAATTAGAGTGTTGAATAACAAGATCGAGAAGGGAAACAAGTTATTCATAGATGAATAAGCGAAGAGATTGGCATGCTTGAGATGCACAGAAAATGTACAGTAGGATACATCGGAAAGTTACATTTTGTGCTTGTGAAGTGCTGTGGCTGTCCCCATTATGTTATTATATTTCAATGATGCGTGAAGGTGATCTTTATGTTGTGTTGTCATATAATGAAATTCCATTTTCATATATTCCACATTTGTATTTAAATATGTTTAAGGATTGGATATGGTGACAAAAGACAATAAGAGAGTTAGAGAAAACACTGCAACAGTATAAACAAATAATAGATGTGTTCTCATTGAAAATAAAAAATAAGAAAAATTCTAAGCTATCTTCTGTAGAAAAACTCACTACTCTATGGAAGTACAATGCATATTAAATATGATAACATGTGCAGAAAATAATGTTAAAGTTACTTACAATACGGGAAATCTATAAGAGTGTAATAGTGTGAATACACATACAAGAAGGAGATTTAATACTTTGATAAAACTAAAGATAGATTAGAGGGTCTGGATGCTTAACTTGTGTTTCAATTATTTTTTTCCAAGGCATATGCTAGACGTTTTTTTTATTAGACTTGACATGCGCTGAGTTTATATAAGGCATGTTAATGTCGGACCTGCAGCCGGCTTGCAGATGACTTCTAGACTTGTCCATTCATTCTAGCTTGATGCATTGTCTTAATTAAGATTATCAGTGTATTTTATTTGAATCATTACATTACAACCCTGTTTGTTTTGATACCTCTAAATATAAGTTTAGATTGAGGTTAGCACTAATATATTCAAAGTTAAAACTAGAGTGATGCATTATCTTAATTAAGATTATCAGGGTATTTCATTTAAATCATTACAATTTTTGTTTTAATACCTTTAAGTACGAGTTTAGATTGAGCTTTGTGCTAATATATTTGACTTCAAAGCATTATAATGTTAGTGGTGGTTTTAGAATCATCCCATGCTTGCTAGAGAGTATGATCGTGTAAGAGCCGGAAAGCCTCCGACAACTTTGGAGATGTCTCGTTATGGGTTAGAGCCTCCCCCGCTGAATAAACGTAATGATGTGACTGCTTGGAGGCAAGCTGTACGAAATGGTCAAAGTCTACTACAACATCAAATTATACGGTGAGTTTTTTCTATAACTCTTTCAAATGATTATTGTTTTCTGTGATTTTACAATAATGTTTGTAATTTTTGCTAATATTGTGAACTATGTAATTTATGTATTTACTCGTCTCACACCTAAAATTTTATATTTACACACATAGCACTCAAATCCTTAGTATCACATAAAAAATAGCATTATCATCACTTTTTAAAAGTGAAATATACCTTTTCATGCACAGGATTAAAACACCAAAATGCTATGTATGTAAAAATTAAAGTTTAGGTGTGCTATATGTAAATACATAAGAATTGTGTGCTAGATATGTAATTTTTTCCTATTCTTTTTTCTGAAAAAATTTCAACTGAGGGAGCTTCTATGACATCTATAGGTGTCTTAATTTTGGTTGTAAAATATGGGAAAAATGGGTAAGTGGCAAATAGGTGATTGATTTGGCAATAAATGGTGACATAGCTGAGTAGAATGAAAAGGGTGCATCGATTAGAGCCTTGTTTGAGTAGTGTGGATGATTGTTTGTTGTCTGAACTATTTCAATAAATAAATTTTTTTGAGAAAAACAATTGTGCTGTAACATGACCTGGTTAAGTGAATTGCAGTGTAACAAAACTTGATTAAATGACAAAAGATCGACGTAATTATTTATTAGAAAATAATATTAATTTTATTTATCTTAAAATTAATTAATGAATTAAATAAATTACTATCAATTTTCATGAACTTAAATTGAAATTAATAAAAGTTGTAGTGTTATTTATACAATAATGATAAGCTTTTTTTATAGAAAGAAAGTTTGTAATATTCATTATTCAAAAGCAGATGATGATTGGAGGTATAATACATAATATTTGAATTATTTTGGGTAATATCAAAATGGCTTAGAGTTACTTTTGTCTTAAAAAAATTCAACATCTTTTTGAATAATATTGTATTTTTAGAATGCATGCTTGTTTATCTTTATCACCATTTTTATTTTTAAGCTTTTGCACATTAGAACTTTTTCGTACGACAATTAACATAACTTTTACTGAACACTTAAAAATTGATGTGCTATCTTAGAACACATAATTGATTGACAAAAACCATAGCCAAATGAGGCCTGAATTTTATGTTGAAACATGATGGTGATGTGTGTATTACGAGTAGTAGGGGGTTTAACATGGGCCCAAGGAATGAGGTAAAATGCCTTGGTTAAATCCTTGCCTATTGTAGGAATGTGGCTATATTGGAAAGCAATTTTCATTGATAAAGCCACATAGATATATTTGTTACGATGATTTTTAGAATCAATAGTGAATTTGTTTTGCATAAGTTGTTTAGTGAGGCCTTCAAGAGAAGAAGATTGGGTAATCTATATCCAAATTGAATGGTCTAAATGTTGATGTTGGCTAGTCATAAGATATGAGCTTGTATACGTTGCATTCTTCATTACTCGTCATCGAATCTTGTGTTTCTTTTGGTCGTGCTATTGGTGTTGAAAATTAAAATCTATATTTAGAACTAGTTGATAATGAAGTAATTAGTCTTTTTGGTAGGATTGCTAATTAGGTTAGTGTGGAAAATTAAAATTGGATTTTATTACTTTGTAAAAGAGCTATATATGTGTTGTAAACTACCAAATAGGTTAAATGTGCTTTTTTATCTGATAGTTCATAGAAAATTATTTTCTTATTACTTAAGTAGTCTTTTTAAGAAGTAAAATGTAAATTAAAAGTTAAAATGGAAAAAATATGCCTATAACGCTAACATGTTATTTTATAAAGAAATTTGGAGCGCTTTTTTTGTCCGGACTCCTGACGTAGCTCTATGTGCGGCGTAGGTTATTCTTGAGTTATTTTCAGGTTATTTCTGGGTTATTTTCAATAATACCGAAATAACCCAGAAATAACCAAAAAATAAAGATCGCGGGTTATTTCTGGGTTATTTCGGTATTATTGAAAATAACCCAGAAATAACCTGAAAATAACAAACTTCGTTCGCACGTGTTCGCACGTAGAGCTACGTAAGGAGTCCGCACAAAAAAATTTTTGAGAAATTTGAGAGCTATAAATGAAGTTTTCTTTGATATATATTTTTTAAATTACAACTAAAAGTTTGATTGAATCAACCATTTATAGTTAGATTTTGTTGTGGAATTTCTTATAATTAAAATAGTGCCATTAAATTGCAAACTTTCTAAACATGATCAATTGATGATCTAGGAGGATTGTAGACTATGAACGGCAGGCTCAATTGAAATGCCAACTATTTGGGCTTGGGTTGGGTCTATGTAGTTTTTTTGCTAGCTCATGGTTGGCTTGATTTTTGTTTGAATTGATGCTTTGTTATCTATTCCTAAGGTGTTTGAATTTTCCTCTTCTTCCATTTAGGAAGTATTTGATTTATTATGAGAAAGTTCGTTTGCTTCTCAAATTAACAAGTGATTCATCTCCTTGCAGTTATGAGATTTCTTTTTGTCTTGCATTATAAATAAATGTTACGAATGGAAAGAAATAATATTTGGAATTCACCTAAAATCTATCCTCACCATGTATATATATCCATATATATACCCTTTATTGAGAGCTATCTATCTTGGGCGAAACTTCTAGACAGCTTTGATCTGCTCCAAAATGGTTGGATGGATCCAAATCTATGTCAAAAAAAAAAAAAATGTTGTGTAAAAATCAAGATGCATCGAGTTGGAAAGGAGTTCTAGCAATTATGAAGAAGGAATCCATAACTTCTTGGATCAGCAATTGAATTCTTGATTACTTGATCCTTAGGTCTGGATCATTATTATTGCATGGGCAGCAGCAAAAAAGTGCCAAATTGGAGGGGATTTGTTGAGGTGGAAAAAAAAGGGGAGAAGTTTTAACCAACTTCTCAACCTATCTCTTACAAACTTTAAATTCAAAACTCTTTGATCAATAATCTATTTCTTAGTCATTTGGTATCATGCATGTTAATAATGCAAAATAACATGTACTATGGCGCATAATGTGCTGTGGTACACCCCTTGTGCCATTTTGATGGTAATCCGTTGTGCAGTGACCCGCATTATCACGTAAGTATACATGTAAATTAAGTGGTATACAGATTATGAGTTTGAGTTATCGATCCAACGAGAAACAAGTTATTCTCAAAGAGGTTTAATTACTAATTTACTAATCTTAAATTTAGTAAAAAATATTTTAGAATTTTGAAATTTTTAAAGTTTCTAAATACTAATTTCAAATTTAAAGACTAAAACTAGGAGAGAAAGGTTTTCTAATGGTTTGAAAGTCTCTTTGAATTGATTTAGTAAAACCTAAGTTTCTTCAAGTGATTTTCTATTATAAGTGTCATTTGGGGCCTAATACTTTCTTATCCTCTTCCGAGATATAACAAATGTTTGAGTTCTATATTATATTCCTAGGCATCCACATTTCTCAAAATGATTACAAATATTTAATGACAATATTCTTATTCAACTAAACTCTAGTGTTTTAATATAGTTATGCTTCTAATCTTCTTTCGATAGTCCTAGATTACAACTAATTTTAACAATTCAAATGATTAGCTTGAATATAAATTAAGATAGGAAGGTTAAAATAACAACTTAAAATATTCACTAGTTTCAAGAATCGAGCAAGGATTTCTCTAGCTTTTAAAGAGTGTCATTCCAAAGGAATAAGAAATTTTAAGTGTTACGCATTAGTTGATACTAAAATATGAATTTCTTTGATAAAATCAAATTCAATTACAAAAATAAAGGACTAAAAAACTAGATAGCAACATCATTGTTCCTAAGTCTTGATTGCCACCCACAATCTCCTCTTTGCTTGATTATAAACACACATTCTTTCCTTTACACAAGTAAAGTGTATTAAAGATGAAAATCAAAAAGTACTTTTCTTAGAAAAAGATATTCAACATAGGTGGGTGAGTTACTTTGATAAACTTTTTAATGAAGTTTCTGAAAATAC